ACTTATATAGGCCCAACTCAAAACACATGTCAAGGCACTTTACAGAGACAATTTAACCAGATCATACAGTCAGATTGGTTAAAGTATGCATGCAATGAGGAAAAGTGATCACTATGTCCTCCAGCAGTCTGAGCCTATAATAGCATATATAGAGATAACCAAGGGTAACCTGAGCACCTCTAACTATAAGACTTAGACAGTACTTTATTGATCCCTTGGGAAGATTCCCTCCGGAAATTAAGGTTACCAGCAGCTTACAGGGCAAAAAAGAATTAAGTGAGATTAAGTTAAAATTAAGCAAAATACAAATAAATATGGAGTTCACATTTAACAGAAAAAATAAAAAATATAAGTGTTGCTACTTCTTCCCTCTTCCCCCTGTCCTGTGTCGCCTCCTCGCCCCCAGTGAGTCGTTGCACAGTCTGATGGCGTGGGGGACAAAAGAGTTCTTAAGTCTATTGGTCCGGTTCTTGGGAAGCAGCAGTCTGTCACTGAACAGGCTCCTCTGGCTGCTGATGGCGGTGTGCAGAGGGTGGCTGCTGTTGTCCATGATGTCCATCAGTTTATTCAGTGTCCTCTCCTCTGCCACCGCCACCAGAGAGTCTAGCTTCATGCCAACCATGGAGCCGGCCCGCCTGATCAGTTTGTCCAGTCTGGATGTGTCCTTCTTGGATGGATAAACATCATAAACATTTGGCTCTACCTTGGCCCTACTGTGGCTCTACCTTTCTTATATCTCATCCAAAATAACCGGTTATCCTGAGCTATTTTCTATATTTATGTGGCTGGATGTTTAGGCTTCTGGATGACATAGGGACCTTTTTTATATTCTGCTTCATTCTATCTATATTCTCCCATTCTACAATATTTGCTAAGTTCCCATCAAAACTTTATGCTCTCTCTGCTTTTCCTGTAATAGTAGCTTTATCTGGTCTATATCTGTTTGGCTGTGACACCATCCTGGAGAGAAATATCAACTGCGCAGCTGCCAACAACATCTCTGTATAGAGATGCTGGGGCTTGGCCTGTTTTTCAAGTAGTCCTGTTTCTTTTACTGAGACTAACTGTATGTGCTCCCTTATATTTTCTGACATGAGAATTGGCGCAGACCTCGTCTGCTTGGTTATGTTTTACCTAGACAGGACCGCATGTGGCGCTAGTTAACTGCGTCTTTTAGCATATCTGCTTCTATCTCCTTGAACCCCAGTCGGCCTCGGCAGAAGGCCTCTCCCACTAAGCCTGGTTCTGCTGGAGTTTTCTTCCTGTTGAAAGGAGTTTACCTTTCCACTGTCGCTACATGCATGCTCGGTGTGAGGGATTGCTGAAGAGTCAATGACAAAATGTAAGCTAAAATTGTCACCGCAAGCTGATCCAGGAGGAGCATGTCTTGCAAGTCAATGACTGGATGCAATCAAATAGTTTCCCTTGACAGAAACTTTTAACCAATCTGACTATATTGTCTCTGTAAAGTGCCTTGAAATGACATTTGTTTAAAATTGGTGCTGTAATAATAAACCGAGACTGAGACTTAAAGTTAGACAGAGTGTCTGCCTCACGGACTAAAACTGGTGGTATGTGCCAAAGGATAAGAGCCTAATAACTAAAATATCTGTTCTGTTTTCTGCTTTATTGGGAACTATCGATAAAATATTTATATATACTTGGGTCAGGATTATTCACCCAGCCTTTAAAACAGGAATTATCAAACCATTATTGAAAAAGAGATTTTGTCCTGCAGAACTACAGGCCCATCTCAAACCTCCCTTCATCAGTGAGATCATTGAAAAAGTTGTGTTTCAATAGTTAAATGTGTTTTTTAAAATGACCAGCTGCTCTGATGTCTTCCAGTCAGTTTTTCTTTCTAACAGAGACTACCCTGA